CCCGGCCTCCCTGGCGCCCGGCGACCCGCAGCTCATCGCTGTCATCGTGGAGCAGCTCAAGAGCCGGGGCCTGTTTGACAGCTTTCGCCGGGACTGCCTGGCGGACGTGGACACCAAGGTACTGAGGCCGCCGCCTCTCTGCTTCCCCAGCCCAGAGAGGAAAACAAGCTGCCTGTACAAATCTCAGCAGTGAGGTCGGACCGCAGGGGGCGGTACGCGGAGCCTTCCGAGCGACGCGCACGTGGGTTCGGCTCCCAGTCCCCGGCTCTACGAGCCGGACGGTTTAATTTAGCCCAGCTGCTTCTCTGAACTTGGGGTTTCGATAATGGTTTTTAGAGCCTAACCCCTTTCTTTCCCCAAATGGGGTTCCTTTAAGCCTCTCAAGAACAAACCTCAGTCTGTTGATAGTGGAGAAAGCCAGATAAGTAAGCGAGAATCGCTTGAATGCAGAGTCATCAATACCATAGATGTTTCCTCCTTTTCTCTAGCTCAGTGGTTTGCAGACTTGAGTGTGCAGTTGAATTAAGGTACATTGTTGTCGAGCCAGCACCTTTATTTTGTGTTCCGTTATTAGTTAAAGGGGATTTGGTGACAATTTTAGAGCCTAGTACCATAGGCCAACCTCCCAGTAAAATGCTATTTAACGCTGCCTAGTTGCCAAGGTCGTTTGTATTCCGTGTCAGACATTCCGTAGTTGCTGGAACACTCACCTCCTCCCTTACCTAAGCTTCTCTAACAAGACGATGGTTGCGAGTTGAGGCCCTGTCACTGGCCCGGCTCTCTAGTGAAGTGATTTCTCTCTGAGCCTATCTCATAGCAAGATTGTGAGCTTCAGAGAAGACCTTAAGGCTAGGGAGACCCAGTCTGTTTAGTCACTGAACATGTATCGGCCTATTTCGCGCCATGCCCTGTAGATACCCGAACGAGTCAGTCACTATCCAGCCCTCAACGCTTGTACTCCAGGGTAGAAAACTGACACGTAGGCCAGACCGTTTATGGAGTGCACGGGCCGCACTGTTATTGTCAAAGCTAGTAACCTGAAGGGGCAGGGGCTAGCCAGGCACATGTTACTGAATTCTTCGTTGCTTTAGCCCCATGGTTTTCAAAGTGTGGTCCTTGGATGAGGAACATCACCTGAGAACTTGTTAGAAGTGCATATTTTTAGGCCCCACCCCAGACCGCTGAAGTATTAGGGGAAAGTGTACTGTAATGTACTTTGCAGTGCATCCAAACTATGGGGGAGTCGAGCGAGGGATAGATAATACGATAAAGTGTTAATGGCAGGAGGGGATTACTCTGTGTTGTCTGGATCTGTGCATGTTTGGTGACGTTTGCTGTCCTTTTTCAGTAAACTGTCATCTCAAACTGGGTGAGTTATTTTGAATAGTAGAAGGTATAGTATCCGGATACATGGTTCCAAGTGACAAGTCCAGTTCTAGTTCCTTAAGCAGAGGAGAGGATCTGTTGACTCCACGGAAGGGCTAAATGGACAAACCGCCAGGAGGGGAGGGCTGCATTTGGACCAGGGCTGCCCCCCGGCGCTGTCTTTGATCCGTTCTTAACTGCCACAGAGATGTCCATTTGATGACTAGTGTTTCTTGATTACAGCTTATAGCTTCTTCCTCTAGAAAGGGACTCTCGGCTCCAGTTTAAAAATCCCAAGGAGTGCGTGCATTGTCTTAGCATGAGTCGGGCACCCACCCCTGTGGCCAGGTGAACATGCCCGACCCTTGTAGAGAGGGGAGGATGGGTACCAGGAAACAGGAGTTGCCAGGCCGATAGTACACAGGCGTGTGTGGATTCTACTTCTCACTCATCCCCCTGCCTCGTCCTCTCCAGGTTTAGTGGAGAATCCTCGTGAGTCAGTTTTCTTGGCCTTTTGGAAGAGTCCATGCGTGGAGTTAAGGCCTGCTGATCTTTTCATTGATGTCACGTAGCTGACTATTCGCACTTTGGCCACAATAACATTGCCTGATAAACCAGATCTCTCTGGCTTATGACAAGCATTTCTCACGCGGACAGGGCTGCAGGTCATCAAGGTGCAGCTGATCTTGGTGTCTTCAGCTGGTGGCTCAGCTGTAGGCTGCAGGTCGCCCGGGACCGGATCCCAGCTGTGGGTTGGGGTTAGGTCTGTTGCACATGTACTCATCCTAGGTCCCAGGCTGAAGGGGCAGGGGCTAGCCAGGACACACCCTCATAGAGGGCCATCAGAGCACAAGAGCCAAGCCAGACGGTGCAGCCACGTTTAAGGTCTCTTGTTACGCACATCCCACTGAGCAGAGCAAATCACGCGGCTAATCCGAGCATCGCTGGGCTGGGGTGGCATCCTCTGCCCACCGTGGGGGAAGGTGGGTGCAGAGCACCACCACACCTGGTTTAGGGAAGAGCCGCTCAGAACACACGTTCCTCGTGTTTACCAAGTTCCCGCGAACTTTGTCCTGATCCCGTTGGGTCTAGAACCTGTGAGACACCGGAGACCAGTAAGTGCCTCTCAGCTCCGTTTTGGGCTTCCGTTTTGCACCCCCTCAGCCCTTCCCAGTGTTCCACGGGCTTTGACTTGCGTCCACATCTCGCACCATGCTGAGGTTCAGGTGGCCCTTCATTTTTTGCAGAGGGCTTTCCTGGGCCCTCCTTTGTTGCTGGGAATACCCTGCAGGTAAGCAGGGCAGTGATATTAGTTTCCCAGATGGATGTAACTGAGACTCGGAAAGGCAGAGCGCCAGTGAGCGATGGAGCCGGTCTAGAACCCGCTCCTCTGATTTAGAAACAGCCTGGGTGCGACCTTGGCTTTGCCGTGTGGGCAGCGTGTTTACTTTTTATAGGCTAAGCGTGTAATCCCTAAAGGGGGAACAGGACAGAACTAATGAGACCCCCTCGTAGACTTACTTGAAGCGTAAATGGGTTCACAGCATGAGGCATCTGGCATCGCACTGCCCCCCATGATGTCGGCACTCACATCGGGGTCCCTTCGCGTCCGCACCGTGATTCCTGGTTGTGGGGAGTGCCCCGCAGGGTGCGGGAAGCCACGCTCTGCACGAGTGACCGCCAGGGGCCGCTATGCTGACGTCTCACTGCACCCCTTCTTTCTGATATTTTAGCCCGCTTACCAGAACCTGAGGCAGAAAGTGGATAACTTTGTGTCAACACATCTGGACAAGCAGGAGTGGAATCCCACGATGAACAAAAACCAAGTGCGAAATGGGCTGAGGCAGAGCGTGGTTCAGTAAGTAAGCGAAAGGCGGTCGGTCTCACACGTCAGGCTCGCAAGGAAGCGAGTGCCCGTCACTGGCCAGGGTGGTGGCACTGCACACAGACGTCACGTATGGGTTGCAGCAGGCCGCCCCCTTATTGAAATTAAGGTCTAAGTGAGCAGAGACTTCAGCTGACATCCTTGCTGGTTCCTCCCACCACGCAGGCTTCCCCCGCACTCCCTGCGGGCGCCTCGGAAGGCATCCCGGGCCACGAGGCGCAACCTCTGCTCTCTGCCGGCCGAGCATCCGTGGGAGCTGGAGCTTGGGCACAAGGGTCTTGCGTCTTTGTTCTCACAAGCGAATGCTTAGTTTTACCACCCGTGTAAATTGTCCTGCTTTCTGATTTGGTCTAGACTGTGTTTGACCTGAAACGTGAATTTGGACGTCACACTGGGACGTGTCTCTGTGATTCTTGCACACTGTGAATTTGAGGCACGTGCTAATGCCGTGTTGAAGGGAAGGTTTTCTGCTAAGCCCTGGAGTGCTGTCACCAGGTGAGGCGCTGCAGGCCTCAGCGTCGGCCACCACCCCCGTTCAGGCCCAGAGCTGCCCCCGAGGTCCACAGCGCGGACAGCTCCTCGGGAGGTCTGGCTCTCCTGTGACCCTAAGCATGGCTGCGTCCTTTAGCTGCATGCCACCTGCTCATTCCCTTCTGCTCTAGGCTCCTGACGAGACATCGTGTTCCCTCACACGCCTTGCACCAGCCTCCAGGGGCGTGAGCCGCACTTTCTTTGTGCTTTGTTCCCCTGACCAGGCTTCTGCAGCCCGCGAGCGGCCCCGGGACTCTGCCTTGGGGAGACAGGGTTGGGGCAGGGCATAGCTGGAAAGCGGTCAGCTTGTGACTGAGGAGGGGTGGCCCCACTCCTGGCTGACCTTGCTGTGTCCCGTGCTCTCCTGAGGCGCAGACTGTGATGTGGGTCTGCCTGCGCTCCCGGCGCTGAGTTTACATTGTGGCTTCTGGCGATAAGCTGGCGTCACCCGAGTCCAGGGAGCGCTTCGTTCACCCCTCACCCGAAGCGGTTGGGGGCCTGTTTCAGCCTCACTCGGCGCTGTGTGCCTTCACTCACCTGGTTCCGTCGCTGTACCTGTTGCCCACCTGCCGCAGGACAGATTTTTACCCCAAGCAAAGGCGCAAATGGCCCCAGGACTCTCAAGTCTGAGAGGAAATAAGTACGACCTACCACGTGCTTGTGACGCTCTCTGAATCTTAATCCCTGAGGACACTTCCGTTTGACCCTACGTGGACTCTGTTCCAAACTCTCCAGATGTGTGCTTCCTGTCACCGTTACCCTCCTCACTGCCCTGTCCCATGTGTCCGAATGCATACATCTTGGCTAATTTTTGCTCTGCTGTGCCTTTTAGCCCCTTAGGAGCTCAGAACCAGTTTGTTTCTTGTGTGTTTACTTGTTTGCCTTCGAGATGGCTAGTGCGCATGATAGGTGACAGTCACAGCTTGAATGCCATATGGAGTTGCTGGCGACATAAGCTCTTGCAGCTCTGACGGCTTTGTGTTGCATGAGGCGGGGACAGTAGCCGGTTGCTGTGGGTCACCTCTGCTCTGACTAGGGGGAGAAGAGATGTCGGATGATGTGGACTCAGGTGTGAAGCTCGCTGGCTTCGACAGTGAGATTGAGGTTTTCACTCACCCCGTCATCAGGTTCTTTCTGACCATCTTGTCACTTGTCCTTTGTCCTTGGGACAGGCCGCTTCGTTTGTTTGGTTCCTTTGTACAGATGGAGGTGGTAGTGGATGGGATCACGAGCTGGGATAACAGGTGGCCGCTAGCCGTGGACCGCCCCTCAGGTGAAACTGTAACATCCTGAACTGGATGTGGCAAGTGGATGGCCCTTACCGCCTGAGTGGCTGTAGCTTTGACCAGGTGGCTGTTTATTGGGCTCTCACGTGACATGTATCGGGGACTAGAGTCTCAGGGGCACTACATAACAGAATGATCTCTGTCTCCACAAGGTCGGGGATGTTGGAGGCTGGAGTGGACAGAATAATCTCTCAGGTGGTGGATCCCAAACTGAACCACATCTTCAGGCCACAGATAGAGCGAGCAATTCATGAGTTCCTGGCGGCCAAGAAAAAAGAAGTCATCCTAGCGTCCCCTCCAGAGCTGGAGAGCCAGGACCCTGCGGCCCCGTCCCAGGATGCTCCCTAAGGTGCAGTACCCTTCTGGGGTCCAGGAGCATGCATGTCTGACGTGGGGGGCGATGGGTGGATAGGAGACGGGCGAGCCGTTCCCGGGGGTGTCTGTTCAGGAAGGTATTCACGCAGGCGGACTCCCCTGCTGCCCAGGAGTCATCTTCACCACGGAGTAATCAGTGTCTTCCTGTGTCAGCGCATATGCGTCCCTGCCACCAGAGACGAGCGTGTGAACCACAGCTAGACTCCTCGTTAGACACCCACTGGGGCGGCCGGTGTGCAGGAGGGACATTCACATGGAAGTCTTGTTTTTCTGAAACTGTTTAAACGAGTCTCGCCCCTGGACAGGAGTTAAGCTCGGGCTTGCGATGTGGATGTAAAATCAAACGAAGCATATTCTAAGGTGGCGTCGTCCTAAATGGGGCCCCATTCTGCTCTGAGCCCTGCTGGAATTCTGGGTATTTGTGGGGATTTGGTTTTACCACCTCATTACCCTGGGGTTCTTCTGTTACGCATACTTGCTTTTTTATTACATTTGGAATTTAATTGTAAAAATCAGCTGTAGATGCACAAAACGCTTTCTTGCAGTGCTTAGAAGACACTGGTAAATGAGAACGTTGGTCACAGGGGAGCAGTGGGCTCGTGCTCAGCCACCGTCAGTGACTGCTGGGTGGGTTTCCTCGTCCCCTCCCTCTGCTTCGGTGTCCTGTAAGAGTCTCGAAGCTGTCTGCCACCTTTGATGAGCATGAGCAAGTGAACAGTGCAAAAGCGTCAGGCTCCCATGGGCCCTCACCCCAGAGAGAAACTGTCTTTGTGGCCATGCGGGAGACCTCAGTGCCATTATGGAATGTCACTCACTCACTCCACGTCTCCCTAGTTTAACTGTAAATTCCTTTGGGATCATCAAATTAAGTAAACGTAGTCTCTTATCATTACGCATTTTGATATGATTCTTTTCTTTTCAGAATATGCCTGACATCTTTTGGAAGTTTCATTGACTTTGGTGAAGAAATAGATTCATTTCCTAACAGTACAACTTCGGAATGAAGACGGGCCGAGGTCATCACTGATTTCAACCTTGACTTTGGGGCAGGATCCTGATTGAACAGGGAGCAAGTTTGACCTGTGTGCCCCTGCACTATGCTGTTATATGGCCGGCCTGTCTGAGGGGATGACACCCAGTAGACACTACAGAGATCTAAAGAAACACTACATCAATCTGGGGTGGTCCAGAAACGAACCTTTAGACTTGAACTAGGCTATGTATAGATTTCAGGGTTTGTGCTGAGGGATAAACAAAAGCCACAGTGAGGGAATGTAACCAGTCTCAACGGTGTAATTTCCAAGAATGACAGTAAAGGTTAGCTGGAAGTAGGTTTTTGACAGTGCTTATTTGATATTGTTTCTGAGTCACAAACTAGAAAGTATAAGCCATTAGCATCAAATAGCTTTAAAGTTGTGAATGTGAATATCTTGTAGCTGTAGTTTCCTTTCCCCTAGAGGTGACAAAACACAGGACCCTAGCGTGCTGAGGTGGCTGACATAGGTAGAAGGAAACGTTTGCAAGTTCTCTGTCCAGGGCTGCTGATCTTGCAAGGATAGGAAGTCTTGGGTGTGTTTACTTTATTCTCGTATTTCTGTTTTTTACAAAAGTGATTAAAGATTAATAATTAGCTTAACTTTTATAATAAAATCATTTGATACTCTGAAGCTTCAACTGCATCTTAGACCCCAGGCTGTGACAGGGAAACCCTTCCCTCTGCCTGCCTGCCACCCCTGTGCACAACACATGATTTCATGGTGGTGAAAGGCTGGCGGCCGAGACTCGGGGCTGCTTGCACCCCAAGGCCAGCAGACGGTGCTGGGAGTGGGCAGCGCGCCCTCTGCTCCCCTGGACTGTTGCTGACGCCGGTCTTTAGTCCAGGGCAGCGCGTTACGAGTGTGTAGGAGGCGACCTGGAGAGCTCAGCAAATCAGGTGCTCTGACTGAGAAGTTCTGGGTGGGGCCTGAGCACCATGATGAGCTCTGGTCTGCTGCTGGCCCTTCATAAACATTGGCCCGTCCTTGCATGTCAGAGGGTCTCGGTGGCATCTACTGCTGGGTGTTGTTCAGCTGATACACTGCAACCTACAGTAAGTCCCCACCTAACACCGGTGACAGGTTCTCAGAAACCGCAGCTCTAAGCGAAATGACGGAACAAAACCCACTTCACCATTGGCTAATTGATACAAACAAGTTAAGTTCCCACAGCATATTTCTGGTCGCAAAAGCATCAAACTACTACTAAATAAAGACCCAAAGCACTCCTAATATTAAACGCTGAAATAAAGGTGAACTCTACATCCATTTGAGAGAGAGAAATTAAAACAAGGTAATTACTTTACAACCCACTGACTACAGTTCAGGGCCGCAGGGGGCCAGAACCTGTCCCGGCGGCTCAGGGCCAAGGCAGGGGCCCACTCTGGACCGGACACCATGCTTTCCCACCCCGCACTCGCTCAGACACACCTTGACCCTCACACACACCTGGAGAAACCCACGTGGACGTGGGGAGAACATGCCAAGGCCACACGGACCAGTCCTGGCCGCGGATCTCTTGTTTTTTGCTTTTTGTGTTTTTTTGCTTATCAGCATCACAAGGAAATGACGTTCTCTGAGGCTCTGCTGTATTTGATTGGTTCCCTGTTAAGCCACTTCCGCCTCGACCACCAGCGCCCCTAAATGAGGCCTGCGCTGCCACATTCAGCAAGGCTTGGGCAGCGTGTGTGCCCTCACGTTAAAGCACGCTGGCCACTTGTTCAGGGCAGATGGCAGGGCCACCTGATGGGTGTTCTGCGTCCCAGCTCCTGATGGCCACGGTCCACTTCCAGCTGAAATGGGTCGCTGTCCTTTCCAGTTTTAGGGTTTGACAACCACAGCTGAAGAGGGCCTCCTGACCTCTCCACTCGGCCGACAGGCCTGGAGTGGCCAGTGTTAGCAGTCCTATGTTTGGCAAAGAACGTCCTCACCTAACTAGGGGGCCCCCCGACCCCGTTCAAGACCACGCGCCTTCAGTGGGAAGCCCCCCTCCCTGGGAGGCACCTACCCCAGGAAGCAGGTTTGCACAGCCACTTCCTGGTGACCCGACCACCTGCCCATCCAACACTGACCTCAGCCCAGCCACAAAGGATGAAACAGCCCAGAGAGACCACCCTTCCCACCCCCAAATGCCCGATTATTAAAGGTACATTTTGTACCTTTCTGAGCAGGCAATTTTTTGGTCCACCTTACTGTTTCCGTGCCAAGCCACCAGAGTTGGTTGGTTTTCTTTTTTTTAAATCACTGTTTTTATCCATTAAGACTAGAGATGATTTCGTTTGAAAAAATCGGATTACAGAAGTAACTAGACACATCAGGCTGCTAGGACAGAGGACGGACTGTGGCTCTCAGCCAAGCGAACTGAAAGGGAGCCGTGCCTCGCTTCCCTCTGGGTAAACAGAGCTGAACTGTCAGGCCGGGAGAAGGCAAGTCAAGGCAAAGCATAGGCCTGGGAGACAGTAGCCAGCCGCTGCCCCTCCTTGCGGGCTGGTCACCTGCTAAGCCTACTGCATCCTGAGTGAAATCCACATGCTTCAGGGTCAGCCATGCGGGGCCGAGCAGAGTCACGTGTGTTCTCAGATAAAGGCTAATTCCTCGCTGGGGAAGACAAGGCCACTGGAAACACGGCCCCTAAGCACCCTCGCGGTAGTCCCTCCCAGACGGAAAGCTGGTCACGGCCCTTGAGGCTGCCCTCCCTGCAGCTGGATTCCCACCGCCATTCACAAAAGCCCCGTGAAGCTCAGAACTAACCTCTGAGACATCGACAGATATCACCAACCTTTAAACGCCGTCAAAGCCTTGGCGTCGTGGGCATGTTCACTGAGGAGCCCCTTCCCGGTCTCTGACGTCCAGTTCTACTGGCCTGGAGCAGCGTCTACAGGACACCACTCCATCTGGCGTGGACCCCGACCTAGCCTACATGATCGACTGTCACTGCCGGCCCCCTCCTCCCAGTCAGGGCTTGCTTTAGCTCCTCCTCGCTCTGTAGCGAAGATTGTGGACCCTCTGTCGGGTATTCGGGCCTCACTGGATCCTTTTACTGCCGTTTAGCCTTAGCTGCTGTGTACCCATCCAGGGACATGGGGTTCCCGTGTACTCTGTCACTCGCTAGCACTGGGAACTGAATAAACACTAACAGATCCAGCACCTGCTGATTCAGAGATTGGGGAAGCACCAACAGCCCTCCAGGTGATTCTGAACATCATTTTCCTGATACCTCTTAAGACAGCAAGAGATGTTGACTGGTAATACCAGTTTAATTATAATCAGTGGATAAACGTGTCTCTTCTAACAGCTCCCGAGGGGCAAGACTATCATATCATCATATCATCATCATCATCATCATCATCATGCTCCCATTCATCCCTTGCAAGGACTGTGTCTATGGACATTTTGACTTAGAAATACCTGCATGTAAGTCCAACCCCCTCAGCTTTCAAAAGTTATAAGCAGTCTTCTGACGGCGCGCTTGCTAAGACGGGAGAGATGTCCATGGGACCCAGCAAAGTCAGGCAGGGCCTGGCTTGTGCCTGAGCCTGGCACTGAGGTTTAAGTTTAAAAGCTGCATCTGGATCAGCACTGGCAGGGGACCAGGCCCTGCCTCCCTTGGCTGCCTGCAGGACGCCGAGGACAGGGTAGGAAACAGACAGGAAAGCTGGCACGGCCGCGCTTTCGGGGGCACTGGGCACGGCACCCCGTCCGTCACCTTGCCCGTGGAGGAGCCAGGAGGTCAACCTTTATAGTCTTGTCACTGGGGGTGGGCTTGACTCCAAGGCCACATGGTAACAATTACCCGTCCTCCCAGACCGGTCACGCCACCTGAGAACCAGCCAGCTGTTCTGACTGCAGTCTCCGGGCGGCCATGTGGCCCTCCTGCCCCAAACACTGCTTGCGGCACACACCCTGCACACTCACAAACTGAAAGGAAGAAGTCGATGAACCAGGCCCCTGCCAGGGGACAGACGTGTTCTAACGCACAATTCCCTTAATTCTCACGACCCTGTTCGGTAGGGTTCGGTCTCCATGGTGGCCGAGGAAGCCAAGGCCCAGGGCGAAGCAACGTGTTCATTACACGACTCTGAGGAGGAGGAGCAAGTCTGGAACCCAAGCCCCTCTGAGTTCCGAGCCCTCAATCCCTTTAGCCTTCTGCTTCTCTGCCTCCCTCCCACTTCCCAGAGTGAGTCCGGTCCCCTGGGGTCCGCCCTTCGTTCTAAACGGAGGCAACAGTCAAATCAGTGTGACCTCGGACCATACCTGAGCACACGCCCTCCGTTCCAGCCAGCCTCCTCCCCTGCCTGCGGTCACGTGGGTGTCCAGGGCAGAGTGTGCCAAGTGACGGGCTGTCTGCTCTGCCCTCTGGCCACGTTCTATGGACCAGGAGTTGTGATTATTGTCTACCGTTTGGTTTTCAGCTAATGAGCAGTATGTGAAAATGGGGAAAGTCCCATCTAGATCTGTATTTCTGGCTCCTCATGGAAAATGTCAAGGTTTGGCGACACTTTTGTATTCCCAGCAGGTATGTCATTACAGGAGTCTCAGGTAAGAACTCAGAAGGGTCAAGGGAAACATTCGTTTCCTGCTGTTTTAGGGACCCAAATCGGTTTACTGATCCAACATTACACGTCCTCGAATATCTGGGCTGGCCTTCTTCCCTTCAATTTCTGCTCACACACTGGAACGCTTTCTTCCGAGCCCCTTCCTCTCTTTCTGGTAAGGTTTTGCCAAATACAGGCAATAGCATCATAACATTCTGCTACCATTCCAGTGTCCAGCCCTCTGTCCCCGAGTCACTGCTGCCCAGTTCGTACCACTTCTACTTGCCCAGCCCCAGCCGGTGGCTCAGGGACTATTTGTAACCTTTGACCTGACCCCCACCTCAAGGTCATGTAGTATGAATCTACAGCTCCTCCTTGAGAAGAAACCAGCCAGGGGGTAGTGACAATGAAGAGAAGAAATGGCTGAAGCAGTGACTCAACACCACGGGACAGCCCCTGCCAGCCGAAGCAGGTGGCTCGGCTGACTTCAGGCTTGGTGACGAGAGTAGGGTGACCCCCTGGACTTGAGATTCAAGCTGGCCCTTTGTTTTCTCTTTGTTCCTGCTGTCTTATCGTCCCCACCTGTCCCCATCTGCTTTTTGTGTGTCTTGCTGTGGCTCAGTGCCATCCACTCTGATGGCAGCTGCCCATCTTCCGATGCCCGCCCAGGCCTTACCCCTCATACGCCATGTTAGACCACCTCAAACGTACCCTCCAAATTTGGTCAAAGACTATGCAGCCACTTTCATGAGCTGTGGAAACTAACAGAAACTTCTTTATTAATCGCTTATTCCATAAGCGATTAAGAAGCTAGGACTTTACCGGTTTCCATTCCAAGATATCTCTCCATAAATGCTTGGGTGAGGGTAGATGAAAACACAGCAGACATTACTGGATGAAATCTCCATAACAGGAGTATGGCATATGTCACTCCGCTTCCCTCGCTAAGTCTCGGCTAGGAACATCTGTGGTTTGCAGTTGTAAAATGGGTCCCATCTGACCCGGACATGTGGGACCACTTCCATCCTGCCTTGGTCCAGCCTCCCGGCCTTCCCACACATCCCCAAGGAAGATGTTTGCACAGCTGATGCCGGTAAA